CATAAAAATATTGCTATTAATATTACGTATTGGGGTGCGATCGAGCAAAAATACGCGTATTTCTGAAGCAAAATGATTGAAATGATCGGATTGTGTCCTATATTTCGCCTTTTCATTTTTAGTCGTGGTTCCCTCATAATTGGTCTACGGCTTCAGTCGCGGTCCGGACCCCCCCCCGCAAAATAATTGGATTCTTTCATACATGTCGATATTTAAATATAAGACATAGTCCAATTATTTCTCATATTTTCTTTTCGTCTTGGGGCATGTACCACTAAGCAATTCCGTTACGTTCCGACGCCGTCGGTCGCGGGTTCGAACCCCGCATGGTCCCCCACAGACAGCCTTGACTCATTTGGAAATTGTTCGCAACGACCGACCCTGGGTCCACATTTCTCACTTCGTTCCTACGTGCTCATCGAGCATTTCTTGGACGCGTGCGCTAGCGCTTTCCGCTGCAACATTCGTATAAAGTATCTTTGATGCTTTGACAAAGTATATTTGTGTGGTGCGCCAACGCTTTCCGCTGTAATGTTCGGACGCGTGCGCAAGGGAATAAGGTCTTACCATAATACCTTATTTTTAATAGCTATATGCGTGAGCGCGTCGCAAAATCAATATTTGTGTTTGATGCTTTGACAAAGTATATTTGTGTGGTGCGCCAACGCTTTCCGCTGTAATGTTCGGACGCGTGCGCAAGGGAATAAGGCCTTACCTTAATATTTTATTTTTAATAACTATATGCGTGAGTGCGTCGCAAATTCAATATTTATATTTGATGCTTTGACAGAATACATTTATGACAACACTGCATTGATAAAATTTCAACATAGTTGATATTTTGAAAGATGTTGCATTTGTTTGGCAACACTGCATTGATCTATTTTCGACCTGCATCTTTTGACATACATCCACATATGTGCATTATTCATTCTGACTTGTTGTGACTGCGCCGATCACTTGCTCCATGTTCTGAATGACCTTCTGCTCGAGTTGCCTTTTGCAACTTCAAAAAAAAGGTCTTGGCATTGTTGGCAATTGCGAGACAGCTTCGTGCAAACTAGCATTATCAGACTATACGGTGCTTTTTGCAAGCGTCATGGACATCGCACAATATTGTGTGTAAATTGGCGCCAACTTATTGCAGAAAAACATTATGAAAAGACATAAATTTCTTTGCAAGCACGAATTGGTTTTTCTCAAAATTCATGGTGCCCTAAGCAATTCGATATTCAATTCTTTACCATAGCAGTCCTGTTGTTGTAGCCATTTTGCCACTTGCGTGTGGCCCAACAGAGGTGCAGCTGCTGCCGGGGGTCACAATTTTGAAGTTATACATAGCCGGAATAATGTTAGGCACGGTATATATTCGCGATATTAATTTTGCTTTCCAAAATTCCCAAAAAGTAATGCAAATATTTTCGGTTCTCATGGTGTGGAATATCGGAGCTTTTTCTACTGATCGTTTGCGCTGTTTGTTGTTTGCCTTCGTGGTTTTTACCGTGGGTTTGTCCACGAGTTTTTTGCGGCCACGCTGGAAGGCGAAGCTAAAGCCCAGGGAGATTGCTACCTTGCCCTTACAGGAGGGCCCAACTGAAGCTTATCACATATATGCTAAAATATTGTAATTTGTATGGTATACTTGTACACTATATTCAGGAATATGCTTTCGGCATAGTGCCTCAGACCTCTCGAACAAGGGACCGAGCTTAGTGTAATTCTAGATGGATTTGGATTTGGACTGGATTCTGAATGGATTTGTGCTGGTTTGGAACGATGTCTGGGCGTCCTGTCACCCCTGCTGCCGTGCCCGCCCTTGGCGGGCTGCAGGCAACTTAACAGGTCGCCAATTGACACTAGACCTGTCTCGGGCTCAGACGAAGTCCTATGCTGCGACGAAGCTTCGCTACATTTCATAAGGTTTCGAGCTATTCATTTAGGCTTGGAACAAAATAGAATAGTTCTCATTGATGAAGAAATCTATTTCAAGGTATTGAAATAATTTGCGACTTTGATATTGATTCTGCCATAGGCACTGGGCAAGCGGGTAAGTCGCCAACTCACGCCGGATCTATTGGGGGATCAGAAGAAATCCTCTGCTGAGACGAAATATTACTATTTCATGGGGATTCAAACTTGGAACTTTCATATAAAATTATGCACTGCAAATAAATACAAAACAATCGTAGATGTATATATATATTTATACCAAAATATTAAATCGATATAAATAATATGTCAATATCACTCAAGCTCAAAAAATAAAATTTGCAGAACTTCAGAGCGATAAAAAATATGCTCAACCTACTACAGGGCAAATTGGTGGATCGCCAATTAACTCTAGATCTATCTCGGGCTCAGACGAAGTCCTGTGCTGCGACGAAACATTCATAAGGATTCGATGTATTCATTTAGGCTTAAAAAAATAGAAGAATAATTTTCATAAATAAAATAATCAATTTCAAGGTATTGAAATAATTTACGATTTTAATATTGCCTCTATCACAGGCACAACGCAACCGGATAGGTCGCCAACTAACGCCGGATTTATTATGCATTACAAATAAATACAAAGAATTCGTAGATAGATATATATATATATATTTATACCAATATATTGAATCGGTATAAAAATATACCAATATTATTCCAATTCATTGAATATATTAATTTTTTTTTACAAAATTTCAGAGCATTTGGCCCCATTCTTATATTGCTCAGACTCCGATCAATCCGGATCCTTTGACACCACCGTTGAGCTCTCAGGAAACGACAACATAAATCAATCTTCTTAAAAAGAAATACAAAACATCAAGGTTTCTCTGGCAATGCGCCTCAACTTAATAGGAAACATTATATGCACTAGATTTCACGCAATGCGAAAAGGTAAATCTCGATATTGCAATACTTGATTTTCCATTAAGGTTGGCGAAGCTTATATAACCATATTGTCTATTCCTATAAGCATATAGAAGAGTACACAAGTATACAATAAAAAATCACTGCGATTATATCCTATAACAATAAATAATCCGGTAAAAGGAGGCCAACAGTGTTGCCTATTAATTCGCGAATTGTTAATTATTCAATAATTATGGGATAAATAGATGATATAAACAAAAGCTATCGGCTTGTATCATTCCCCCTCTATCAAAAAAGAAAATCAATCAATAAAAGACAAATGAAAATCAGAATTTTCCAATAATTTACAAGCGCGCCGCTCTACGATATATCGCATTAATTTATGTCCTATTCGTAATCCGCCAAAAAATTGCTATAAATATCAAAGAAATTAACAAAATAAATATAATCAATAAAATCTATAACAAAATCGAACGACGCCAACACTATCATAACCAATAATAAAACATATATTTTCTTATTACATAAATTTTATTAATACGACAAATAACAACCAAATCCATACTCCCTATTAACGTCCAAAAAATATATAATTTATCGATTTATATATTTCTTAATTTTTAATTTATCGATTTAAAATTCAACCCATTTATTTTTTTCTGCCGTTATTAAAACAACGAACCGACCCTAATATCAAATACCTTTATAACATCATAACAAAAAATTCACCTACCACTATATAATACCCTCTAAATATCTTCGATAATAACTAAAACATCAAATTCTCTATAAAATAAAGATTCAAACACATTTAATTAACACAAACACATTTAATTAACACAAACATATATTTCATAAAACATAATTAATTAAGGGTATTTCAACAAATTTCGAATCCATATCGGAATATCAAAACACTAATCGAAGATTTTTATATAACTAAAATTACGATCAATTTCGGCGTGCGCAACCGCCAAAAACACATAAATATTATCGTTATCCTTTTTGATAATTAATATTAAAATAAAATAGATTGTATATAAATAATAAAATATATTTCTAATTGCAATATATATAAAATTCTATTATTATATCAATAATGCATATTTAAATTCATTATAATAATATAGTATAATTTTTGTAGATTCGAATTCCAAAGATTTCCAATCTTTCTTTTCAAGCTATTCCACTTCTGGTACGTCTTCTGGGCCTAAAAAGCGTTGAATTTCCAACGACCCATCGTCCTGTGGGATGGGTTGCCTTTTGTTCTTACTTTATTTGAAGAGTTTGTCTGTTTACCTTTCTTATCAATCAAAATTGTTTTTACTTGCTGGGGTTTGTTTGTGAGAGAGTGTTGCTGAGTGCCTCCCCAAACCTCCATGTTTGGGCTTTGGCAGGACTGCACATGAAAATGCAAAATAACGCACACACGTCCATGCCTCGTTTGTCAAATTGAATTTTTGGGCCATGGGCCTTGAAGTAAGTTTGGGTACAATCTCCGCTTGAAACTTGACATGCCTGCCAAACACGCAGTACCAGAACCAGATTTCCACCAGAGATACTTGAGGGTATTGCTAGTTTTGGGGAGGTGTATTGTTTCCCTGAAAGGAGCCTTTCTATCATCGCAAGTGAAGATCTACAGGCACAAGCACCGAGGGGAAGCCACTTTTCAAGGAACCCATTGAAATCTTGAGGATCAAATATGGCCTCAAAAGTAGATGAAATTCAACTGGCTTTTGACATCTTGAGCACGACAGAAGTCCGCATATCAATTTGCATCAAATTGCTAATCCGACCGCTTGAACAGTGCCATGACCGTTCGGTGAAGAAGCTGGTGTGGATTTTGTCGATCCGAGGTAGATGTACATCACATCTGACTGTGGAAATCCGTCAGTTTCTTGTCTGCTTTCAAACCAAAAATTATAGTATAGTATAGTGTGTGTGTGTGTCTATATATAACATTGTATAACCATATTTTACAATACTTCGAACCAAGCGGAGAACGACCCGGTTGGACAAACATGGGGTTCCAATGTTTCCCAGTCACGACTGTGCTTGGTTCGACTCGAACAAAGGCCATGAGAAACACCGTGCCCCCGGTGCGTTCGCTCATGTCATGCTTTGAATCGCCCAGGCACATAGACCGTGGTGGCATCTGTTTGGCCTTGGTGATGGACATTGGGTCAGTGGGATGGAGTCCTGGAGCTTAGGGCCACCCTCCAAGGATTTAAACCTTCTCAAAGGCCGTGACTCAAATCATCTACCTTGTACCGAAAATCCAAGATCCTTACACGACTTGCTCTAGTTTCTCCTGTGGAAGGGGTCAAGGAGTGAATTTGAGTCGTGTTGAACTGAGAATTGAAGTAATCTTGGAAATCCTGAGCTTTTGGAACATCAGGCCAAAAGCATGTTTCATCCAAAGCTGAATCAGCTAGCTCTAAGCTGAGTTGTGATTGACTTGAGGACTTCACATTCCAAAGAAAATGCAAACGTTGTGCATGTTGATTTTTCATCACTTGCAGCCACTTGCAAGCATTCACGTGGATGGTCTCTAGAGCTAAGCTTGGAGACATGCTACAACAACAAACTGCCCTGTTGTTTGCTTGTGGGGATCAGCCGAAAGTGACTAGGGAGTGGCTGCAATCTTCTCCTCAGGTTGCTGCATGCAAATCCAAGCAAGCAATAGGTACTGCTAGTCTCCCCCTGAGGGATCATTTTAAATCGGATATATCGATTCCACAAACATCTCGATTTGCACAAATATGATCGGCTATTCACATAGTAGCCATACATACCGTAGGCTGTGGCCTGATGCATGATAGGTATGGCAGGATGAACAAAACATTGACTTTCTTGACAAGTGGCCACAGTCACGGTATTGTGCTACAGTGCACGAACGTGCGAAGCCTGGAAACGGTGGCGCATCAGCAGGCCCCACTGAGTGTCCAACACGCACTGGGGAACCTGCACAAGCGACGGCTCGATCATCCTGAAGGGCAAGGCTCCCTCCCTCACTCCGATATCATAGAAAACGGCGTGGTTTGAGTTGTTGTTGGTTCCAATGCTGTAGATGCACTCCCAATGGCCCCCCACCGGGCTTTAAGCCATTCTGGAACTGGTGCTGCCTTCAATTCTTCTGTAACCTTGCCTCCCAAGCTGAAAGGCTTCAGCGGGCAGATCGTTTCACATCCTAGCTGCTTTCTCTCCATCTCTCTCTCTCTCTCTGGTCCGCGGCCCCTGCAGGACCTACGTCACTGCAAAACACATACACGCGAAACATATTGTACTACACCAACGCAAAAATCATCTAACAATGAACACAAACACACCAATGATACGCTACATCAGCAAGAACTTTCTATATTAAATATACAGTTGTGATCATTGAGCCCAAGTAGTGTGGGAATCAGAAAGAATTGGACCAAGAAAGCCTGTTAAGAATAAAACGCCCTGATCAAAATAAGTAATAAGGAAAAGAGCAATGCCGGCATTTATCCATCTGGGTTTTCTGTTCTGATCAGTTTCTTTTGTTTTCATTGTCGATGAATTCCCTAAACAGTTTGCTGTTGGGGTTCTCAATGCTTTTCCGTGTGTCCGCCTCAGTCTGGGCTAGGGGGCCCATTTGTCTCCCAGTCTCGCCTTTAGAAACTTTACACGCAACTCCTTTGTAGCAATTCTATACATGTGCCAGGTGTGAAAGTACAGGCACAATCTTGAGTGGCTTGGGCGAAGGTCCGGGAGGGGCCGCGAAGGTCTATAGCATATATAAGTGTTTCTATTTTGCAGGCAAATGTGGCTGCATCCAATGAAGCTACAACCTATTTCCCACACCAAGGCTTCTGTGCGCGAGATCCGACCTGTGATGGACGATGGTCCAGCAGAATCCCATCTCCAAGTCTAGTGTGACTTCTAGGGAAAAGCTGTAAGTCCAAACTCGTAGTGGCATCTTCATGAAACCATTGAAAGCCACCCCCCAAAACGCCCAACGGACCATCGAACTCCGCCCCCTCACTGCCCCCCAGTCCTCCCATGTCCTCCCCGGCCCCACCTCGAGAGGGCGGGCGAGTGGACCAGCGGTTCTCCGTCCTCGGGCGGACGGGGAAGACTTCGATCGGCGGATCTTCGGCGGATCTTCGACACCCGTCTATGCAATGATGGCGATGATGAGGAGCCCAATTGGGCTGTTGGTGGGTGGAGGATGTGCTCGGCACTCCCTGGTACATGTGCTATGATGATCTATGATGTGTATTGATGTGGCACCGTTCTTGTGCAAACAAAGATAATATGATAATTAATGATAATATCATATAATATCAATTCTGGTCCCGGTCGAGTGGACATGCGAACTCGGTAAGAAAGCCGGTGGGCTTGCCCTTTCCACCACTAGAAATTCCTAACACACTGGACCGATGTGCTTCAAATTGAGGAATGCGACTGGAAACCAATCACTGCCACAACATTTGTCAGGGTCAAACGTGCAGCCTTCGAAGACTTGTGGATGGACACTTGTGGCAAACTCAGGAATACCCAGCTCTCACTTAGGAGCTCCAGCTTCTGAAGACACTCATTCGAATTCTTCATCACGGAGTCAGGGATAGTTAGAGTGAATTGTATCCAAGGAAGAGGAATTCTTCAATCCAAGCACACCGTTTTGGCATGGTCAAGTTTGTCACGGAGCTACAGTTTGCAAAGGTATCAGCATCAATGGTTCTTAGAGTCAGTCAGGGATGCACCGGTTAATTCACTGCAGCAACGAACATTGAACCCGCCAGCAAAACAACACATTCTCTCGTCACGCCTCTCAATGAGATGCAGTCTTTGAGACTGAAAAAATGATTCTCAGGCTGGTCAAAAAAAACGCTCAGCCTTTGAAGTTCGCCTCAATGAGATGCACAATTCGAAGAATGCCAGGTGTTCGCGCCAGGTGTTCGGAATCATCACATCCGGCGCCCCAGGTGTTCAATTCGTCCTCACCTCCATCCTGCCCAAGTTTCGGTGTGTTCGTCCGACGCGGAGCTGACGCAACTGTTCCAGTCGCCTGGCGGGATGCAGCCAAAGGTTGTTCGGCGAACGTCAACGAGTCGTTGTTTTTGCAACGGTGCAGGGGGTCGGGATGGGACGGGGGTCTCACCTGGTGAGCCACCTGGTGATTTCCAGTGGAACATGTCACGCGTGCGTAGGGTGTCGCACAAAGGATCACAAAGGTACGAAGGGCCGAACATGAAATTGACAATCCGTCTGGCATCACTGAGAATAATCAGATTCATGTTTATCTCATTTTATCTCACCATGTATATTCTAAATTACGATATTACATACATAACCCAAAGAATACCAAAATAACTCCTTGTCGCGAAAAGACACCAAGGACCATGGACCCCTCCCGAACTTCGCACTCTTTTTCTTCCTTATGTTGACTCGACCCGCTTCCGTTTCCGGCGCCCAGTGGCCAAGAGCTCCACTAAAGCAGCGACGTCCAGGTCACCAGGCCCTCGGGCTCCCGACGTCGCTGTCTCCTTCAGCAACTCCACCGGCTCCAGCTGCATACGTCGAAGCAGCTCCACCGCTGCCCAAGCGCCCGAGAGCACCGCACCGTGGGTGCATTGGGCACCCAGATCGCCGCAGATCGCGCCCTCCCCGGCGAAGTGGAGCCGTTGCTCCGCACGCGCGTAGAGGGTCCGGTCCTCCTCGGAAGCTGCCGAGGCTTGAAACTCGGTGTAAGCTCCAAGGGCAAAGGGGTCCAGAGACCAGCGGGTGACCTTGTAGAGAGGAGGTAACAGAATGAGCTCTTGATCTTGCGGAAACATGGCACGCAAGCCCTTCACCACCTCCAAAACCAATTCTTCATCGCTCAAATGCTCGTGCTGCTCCCACTGGGCATCACCCCAGATGTGGCACAGGAGCTGTCCCCTGCGCCCATACTTGTGAAGATTCAAGAAGTGAAACCTGGCAAGGCAATCTCACAACAAAGAGGACACTTCACAATGAAAGTGAACTCATAGTTACTTGTATACTGCACCAGCCAAACCCCTGTCAGTGTAAGGGCTCTGCCACTTCAAACAATTTCTAAAGAAAGTGAAGCCTGGCGTCCGTGGTCTCAAATTGGAGAGGTGCCCCGGCTGGATCCAGCTTCTTCAGCACGAAAGCAGACCCCTTGGGCCATCGCAAAAGCACCTTCTCATGCGTACAGGCCCCACAGCGTGGAATGGACAAACGCCTGATTGCAGTCCTGGGCAGCAACTTCTTGCTCTAAAATATCACAAACAAAATCAGCCGACTCCGGCCCCCAGTAGTAGTAGCAGTAGAAATAGGAAAAGCAGCAGCAGTAGGAGCAGGATTAAGAGTCTTAAGAGTAGGAGTCGTAGTAGGAGGAGGAGGAGGAAGGGGGGGAGTAGCAGTAGTAGTAACACTGGCAATACCAGTGGCATTCCTAGTGCTACCAGCAGTAGCAACGGCAGCTCTTGCAGTAGCAGTGGTTATGGTCGTCGTCGTCGTCGTCGTCGTCGTCGTAGTGGCGGTCCTGGTTGTGGTCGTGGCCGTGGTCATCGTCGTCATCGTCATCGTCGCCGTCGTCATCGTCGTCCCCATCGTAAGTAACAAGTAGTGAGCAGTAAGCGTAGGTAGGCAGGCAGGCAGGTAGTAAGTAAGTGAGTGACTAAGTACGTCAGAAAGAAAGTATATAGTAAGTAAGTTGAGTTGAGTTGAGTTGAGTTGAGTTAAGTAAGTAAGTAAGTAAGCAAGCAAGCAGTAAGTAGTAGTCAGTAGTAAGTAGGTAGTAGGTAGTAGGTAGTAAGGTAATATGGTAGTTAGGTCGTTAGGTGGTGGTAGTAGTAGTAGCAGCAGTAGCGTACTGGTAGTAGTCTTCTTGCCTTTGCGTGCCATAGGTACGGGAGTAAGAAACATGTGTGAAACTGCGTCAAAAAGATAAATAGGCGCCCCTCATGCCCATGAGTACAGGATCTGGATCCCATAGGAACAGTGCACATCAGAGAGCCAATTTAGCTTCGAAGTCCAGGTTTCAACCTTGTACAGGAGCAATAGGAGTAGGAGCCGTAGCATGAGCAGGAGCAGTAGCAAAAGTAATAGGAGTAGTAGTAGTAGTAGTAGTAGTAGTAGTAGCAGAAGTAGAAGTAGAAAGTAGAAAGTAGAAGTAGAAGGAGTAGTTGGAGTAGGGGTAGAAGTAGAAGTAGGAGCACGAGTAGGAGCAGGAGGGCAACTAGTAGTAGTAGTAGTAGTAGCAGCCGTCGTCGTGGTGGTGGTGGTGGTCGTCGTTCTAGTGGTAGTGGTAGTGGTAGTAGCTGCTACTTGCTGCTGCTGATACCACTGCTGCTACTGCTACTGTTGTTGCGACGGCCGCCACCACGAGCAGGAGGAGGACGACAACCAAGACCATGGCTAGTGCTAGTGCTGGTTGCCTTGTTGCTTTATAGGGAGGGTCAAGAACAACAGTGGGGCTCCAGCCTTGCTGCTGCTGCTGCTACTACTACGACGACGACGACGACGACGAGGACGACGACGACGACGACGACTACTTCTACGTCTACTTCTACTTCTTCTTCTACTTCTACTTCTTCTTCTACGACTACTACTACGACGACAACGACGACGACGACTACTACTACTCCAGCTTTTTGTTTGTTCTTTGTCTTTCCCTTTGTTGTTGTTGTTGTTGTTGTTAGCTGGTGGTAGCGTTGTCGCTGTTATGGCGGTCCTTGTGGCAATGCGGTTGCAAGTGGGACACGTGACCAAAACACGAGCTTTCTTCTTAATCTGCTTGCTGTTGCCCCCTTCCTCCCGCTGGCCAGTGGCCGGCTGTCAGGTGAGCCTTTAATAAGGTATATTTGCTGGAGTCTGGCAAAACATGTTTGTTCCTGCACATATTGTAAAACTGTTACTTGGGTCATTCCAGGAAGCAAGCCAAGGGCAAACATACCCACAGGCCCACACAATCTCACATAGGGACGGCTCTGTCGAGAGCGGATCCAAAATCCGTTTGAGATGCGTTGGCCCTTTTGGATTTGGCTCTGATACTGCAATGCCAAACTGTGCAACTACACTTGCAACTACTACAATCCAAAGGCAAGAATGGCAAACACATGCCAAAACCATCCAAAAAACTTTTGAAATGGCCCTGAGAAGGAAGAACTCCAAAAGAACACGCTTCATCACATACCTGCGATGAACCATGCAGGTTTCTCAGTGCTGGTCACTGATATCACATCCCTCTGGCACACCAAGGGGAAACCGGACTTTCTGCCTCTTCTTGCTTTGTGGGCCAACGCGTTTCCCCAACCAAAGGCTTTGCAAGACACATCCATGAACTTGGGAGTGAACATGTCCAAGACACATCTTCTCCTCTGGCAGTGGGGGGTCAAAGCGGATCTGGCTCTCCGGATGCAGCTCCGCCAGGACGCCCGAGGGCACCGTGACCAGTCCGAAGGCCGCGCGGAGGCTCCGGTTCGGTCCGCACAGCATCCTCACCTCGCCGGTGGCTGACGTGGCTCACGGTGGAGACGCCATGTATAACCGGTAGTCGTATCATGTATGTACCCAAGGTAGTAGGGAGGCCACATCTATGGGGCCAGCTGGAAGAAGACTTTGGACATTCAGAACATCTGGGTGTTCAACATGATCCAAGCGAAGGGGATGGACGCTTGAAGGGTGTTTTATTCAATAATTGACCAAACAGGTTGGACAAACTCAAACACAACTTGTGGCGGGGTCTTTTGAGGTTGACCAGTTGCGCTGCACTCTTTTTCCATAGGCTTCTATCAGTGTTTCTTTGTGACTGAGTGGGTGGTGGGTAGGCTGGTAGGGACAGCATGCCTTAAGGCCTTTGGCCCAATCCGGAAACGGGCTGACCCCCCGACCAACATGGAGTTGAACACTGCTCGTGGAACGCTAGGGTGTTAATTTAGAGCTAAATTGCTGTGGGTCAAAAGTCGGGGACCCTGGTTGACCACCGAGAATGAACAGAATAAGGCGACACTGAAGGCCACGAGCTTGGCAGCGATCCCCTTGAGGACCTACAGGAGTGCAGGGGTCCATGTTTGGATCTTGTGTTTCGAGAAACAGCCTTCTGAGAAGCAATTCTATGTGGCGATTGATGCGGTTGTTCATGAAATCCTTCTCACTGAGTATCAGCCCCAACAATTTGCCAACGGGAAAGCTGCTGGCAAGGGGAAGGATCGAGCCTCCAAGAAGCCCAAGGATGACAAGCAGGTTGCCTCGATTCCAACGACGTCCATGCATGAAAGGGCAAGGATTGACGCCCTTGAGTCACGATTTGAGCAACTCGGCAAACAAGTGACCACCATCGAACAACGCCAATCGTCGTTCGAGAACAAGTTCGATACACGATTTGACGAGATCGGAGATGTGCTCCGTCAGTTGCTCAATCAATCTTCCCAACGGTCGAGAGAAGCCACGGGAGAGTCCCCTCCCACCAAGTATTCTCGCCAGGGGAGTTGATGGTTTCAGGCACAGGGGCGTGACCCCTTTTTCGAGTGTTCGTCTTTCATCGATGATTTTTGTTGGGTCCGTTTTCCTGGGGTCCTTGCTTCTGTGCCGATTTTTGTAGACATGACTGGTGAGATGGAGTGTGCCTTCCACACTCATCTCCTTTTGACTTCCAGCCTTATTGAAATGCACGAGCCAACAGATGCTCAATCGATAATGTGCCTAATTCGCTCACAATGGACTTTGCTCCGACGATGTATATTCTTTGTTTGCTGTGGGTGGCTGGGGCTCCGTTTTGGGGGCGGCTGGCCTGTCTTTGGTTTCCTTTTTGAGCTTAGTCGGAGCGTCTTGCATCATGTGTCAAGCCAACTTGCCAAGGGTTGCGCTACAATGTGGGTGCCTGATGCACCATTGACCCGCTGTCCAATCCGACGTCAAATAGACGCTTGCTGGTGTGCTGCTTTGCTTCGGTGTCGCAAGCCACAGTCTTTTTCGAACAGGTCACAATTTGATTGCACTTTTGGTTTCCCTGGTGAAGGGCCTGATGACACTTGGTCCCTCTTCTCCCACAACACCGGTTCCCTCCGAACCACAATGCAATGGCAGTCTTCCATGGATTCGGTCCTTTGTGTTCAAGAACCACGCATTGGTCGAAATAACCACCGTGATGCCTCCTTCCGTGTTCAGGCCACTGGTCGTCAGCTTTTTTCCTCTAAGTTGTTACCTGGCCTCATCACCAACCATGGTGTTTCACGCACTCCACATGGTGGTTCTGCCATTTTGGCCCCCCAGGAGACCACCCAAGCTTTCGATCCCTTGCAGGATATCACTGGCCTGTATCAGGAGTTGTATAACTCAACTAGAGTCACTGCGGTGTGGCATCAGGTCACCAAACATGTTCGTGCTCTCATTTGGTCCTTTTATGGTCGCACAGGTGCCTCATCAGAGCAGGATCCCCACTCTTGGAATGACCATGCACTTCACAGATCTTTGAGATTTCCGCCCAATACGGGGACATTCCGGTCTTGATTGCTGGGGATTTTCAAGCAGAGCCCCTTTCGTATTCGGCCATTGCAGGTGCCATCCATTTCGCTAAGTGGGAAGACCCTTTCCTCTCGTTCGACGCCGAAGGTTTACCCTGCCGCGATTTGACCTTTTCTTCCGATAGATCTTTCTCGGGGCAGGAGGGATGCTCTAGCATTGACTCGATCCTTCTCAACCATGTTACATGCGCGGCCCTTGTCAAAGCTGAAACAGTTGCTTCCTTTGAGACACAGCACCGTCCTTTGAGGATTGTCTGCTCTTGGCCGAAGATTTTTCTCTCGGGGTTCATCCATCACCGAACGGCTCCCTTGCTGTTCACCCAGGATGAGAATAACTGCACAAATCATGTGAACACAACCCCACATGCGGATGCACTTTGGGATGACTCATTTGCGCAGGCCTTCGATCAAGCTGATGGTGTTGATCAGCGATGGCAAGTCGCAAATGACTTTTGTGTCTCGTTCCTCTTGCAGAATGGTGCCAAATGGGGCAAGGGTCCAAAGGAAAGGGGTCAACCTCCTCGTTTTCGGTCTCGAAGGGTGTGTCCTGGTCAGAACCATTTTGGAGGATCTGCTAAATCCCGTTTGTCGCGGTTTTGCCGTGCATATCGTGGTCTTCATGAACTCAGCATCCGACTGTCACGCCAGCAAGGTAATGTTGCTGATACCCAAGTCACGATTAACACGTGTTTCAAACTTCGCAAGCTGTTGAATGACTTACACTGTCCTTGTGTTTGGCCTCAAGGTGTAGTCCCGTCTTTGCTGCAGGTTTGGTCCAACCTGACCTGGATTGGAGATGCTGCACGTACCCTTGATGTCAAGACTAAACTGTCTCGCATCCAACGGTGGAAGCAAAAGATTCAAGAAGACTCTCGGTGTGGTAATGCTTTCATTTTCAGACACCTTCGTAACCGGGCGAGTGAAGAGCCAGCCAATCTGTTGCAGGACTCTGCAGGGAACATCATTGTAGATCCTTCCCAGGCAATTCGTACGTTCAATGAGGCTTGGGATGACGTGTTTGCATGTAACATTAATGCTGACCACCCCTTGCGTATGTTGGATATAGTCTGGCCTTATATTCGTGATCACACCTCGAATTTTGAATGCCAGCCGATAGACGAACATGCCCTTTGGACTACCATCCAGGGAAGGAACCCTCAGGCAGCTCCGGGTCTTGACGGTTGGCGTACTCAGGAACTACAGATGCTGCCAGCCGCTTGTCTTCGCCCCTTTGTGACGATTTTTGCTGAGTTGGAAGTTGGGGATGATCCTCTGCCTCCCACGTTAACTTGTGCCCGTCAAATCATTCTCAACAAGAATGGGTCTTCGCACCCTATGCAGAAACGTCTCATCACGGTCCTGCCAGTTTTATACTTGGCTTACTCGGGGGCAAGATTCCGCCAACTTCGAGGCTGGCAAATTAATTCCATGCCATCCCAACTGGTTGGAGGTGTGCAAGGCCGCAACATGTCCTGCATCCAAACCCAACTTAAGCTTGATCTTGACATCGCAGAAACACAAGGTTTTGATCTTATTGGGATGAAGTTGGATAAGGCCAAATGCTTCGATAGAATCATTCCCTCTTTCGCCTCCTGCCTTATGTTGGCGTTTGGGATTGATCGTAGGATTGTCACGATTTTCAGCAAGTTGTATGATGGCCTGCACCGCCACCTGTCTTTTAAGAGTTGGTGTTCGCCAATCCCTACGCATGCAGCCAACGGGATTGCCCAGGGAGACAGTTTTTCCCTAGTTGCGATCAACGTCTACTCCAAGGTTTGGGTGATCTTCATGAGTCAACTTCCGGAGATTGTAGCCATGGCCTATATAGATGACGCTTATCTTTGGGCCCGTCTTGAAAACGCCAGGGTTCTTGCACATGCGGTTGAGGTCACGCGTTTTTGGGATCTCTTATCTGGACAGTTGCTTAATGATAAAAAGTGCGTTGTGTGGGGTTCTTCTTCCAAGGCCCGTAAGATTTGTAAGCAGCTTTGGCCGGATATGTTGCTTCAACTAGAGATTGAGGTCTTGGGGGCGTCTATCCCCACTTCTAAGCGTCAGGCCTTTCATTTTGCGGATGCAAAAGTTGCTGCCATTGTCAAAGAGATTAAACACATCAAAGCCCTTCCACTGCCTGTTTCTGTGAAAGCCATGTTCCTTGGAATCAAGGTTATCCCAAGATTTTGCTTCGCGGCCTCACTGAATCAAATCCCCAAGGAAGCTGCGAGAAAGTTTCAATCTGAGATTGTCCACACTCTGTGGGGCCGAAGACCGCACTGGAGGTCTCGTGCGCTGGTCCTGGCTTTTGTCTCGGACCCACACCGCAATGACCCGAACTGTGCTAAAGCCTACCACACGGTGATGGAGTTTCTCCGCTTTCTTCGAATGCCAGGGAACGGCCTGGAGAAGTGCAAATGGACAGCAGCCCACAGCGCCTCTGACTCGTCCTTTCTTGCCAGAGTTGGGGCTGCTTTCCAATTTTTTGGGCTCACCCTTTCCAGGGACCTCGTGATTTCCTTTGGAGGCTCTCCTCTCATGCCAGCCTGGGATGTTCACCCCAAAGATATTAAGATGCTTTTGCAGCGCCTTGCTAGGCACAAGTGTTATGTTGAAGCGGCCAATCAACATCGTAAGGACTTTCGCCAGCCGTCGGGAATTTTAGATGTTGATCTCACCTGTGGCTTGAGAAGACTTTCCAAGATTGAGCATGAATCTAAACCGCTGGTTGAGAGCCATTTCATTGCACAACTGGTTGGCTGCACTCTGACCCGTGACCGGATCTTTGCAGCGCAGCTTGACTCGTCGGACCAGTGTCGTTTCTGCGGCCGGATCAAGGAGTCTCTTTCGCATATTGTTTTCGACTGTGAGTCCTATCACTCTAGCCATCCTCCGTTGCCGCTCCATGAACTAGGTGCCAATTTTGGTCTTTTGGGGATTGTGGAACACCCAATTGGTGTGATTCGTCACCGCTTGAACTGGAGT